GCACCCCCCCCCCCCCCCCCCCCCTTGAGACGAAAAAGTCCTGAAGGGGGGTACAGGAAAAAATATTTTCGCGTGATAAAAAATTTTTTGTGCCATGGCGAGCCCCCCTTACGAAGTTGGCCCCCCCCCCTTGAAAAATTTCTGCGTACGCCACTGGTCACAGTCAAAAAATAATTTATCTTGCCGGGATCATCTTGTTCATATCTAACTCAGAGCTATAGCTAATATTAGTTTTAATGAAGATATCCAGCTACTGAGTCTGTCATTAGGTATTATCCCACATCGTACGATAGCTGAAAGGCAAAGGTGTTCTTTCTGTAATACGACATCAACATAGGCATAATTTAATTTATTTAAATATTATTCTAGCTGTTGTTGGTCCAACAATAGACACTGCTACTGGCATTCAATTACAACCGGCTACAGCTTATACTACATTACCTGCACAATATCCTATTTATGCTCCAGCAGCTATTTATTCTCCTCTACAAACAACAACACTTATACCTGGTACAATGTCATCACCGGGTAAAGAAGGTTAGTTAAGAAAAAAGTTAATTGAACTTTTCTTTTTCTTTCGTTAGTGAAGTTTTGTTTTTTTTCTTCTTTTGTTTCGAAAATAATATTAATCGATTTCGATTTCATAGCTTTACCACAGTTCTTCGGTCCAGAGGGTTGCAATCTTTTTATTTATCATTTACCTCAAGAATTCGGTGATTCCGAACTTGCATCAATGTTTATGCCATTTGGCAATGTTATATCGGCTAAAGTTTATGTTGATCGAGCCACTAATCAATCAAAATGTTTTGGTACATATATTTCGATTTTTTTTATGAGAAAAGAGAAATAAAGAGCAAAACGAATGCAAAAAAAAAAATAAAGAAAAAAAAAGACGATTTGAACTATGTGCTGGATCACCGCATCAAGATTTTCAAATTTATTTTTGTTTTTTTAATTCATACATATTGATGTTGTGATGTGACAATCCAATGCAGTTCTCGTTCGTTTTTTTTTCTTCTTGCACGTGCGCTCTTTTTTTTTTTCATTTCTCAATTAGTTTTTGTTGTTTTATAAAATAAAATTCAATTTTTATTTTTTTGTTTTTGTTTTAGGTTTTGTTTCCTATGATAATCCACAATGTGCTCAACAAGGTGAAGAATTTTTGTCTATGTTATTTTAATCTATTTTATTTAATTTTTTAGCCATACAATCGATGAATGGATTTCAAATTGGTATGAAACGTTTAAAGGTTCAATTAAAGCGCCCAAAAGATTTAGCCAAACCATATTAAAAATATTGAGACACACACACACACAGTGCATTTTTCGTTCTCTCTAGTCATATGATTATGTATATAAAATGAATAACGAATTTTTCTTTTTTCTTTTTTCTTTTTTTTTGTTTTTAAAAAGGCAATCGAGAATGTGTGTGTGTGTCTATTTCCATTCCATAATTACTAGTCAAACAATATATTCCGATAGTTAAAACATTATATGAAATATCTTAATATTTCGACCAAGAGACAGTCAGTCATTCCTCTCATCTCATTCTTTTTTTGTATCATGAAATTTTGTTGCGTTAAAGATTTTTTTTTTTTTTTCTTAAAAATATGATTATTATTTACTCGCTCCTTTTTTTTGACCGCATTAATACTTTGTTGATTTCTTATGTTGATCTACTGCATCTTTTTTTTTCGAGGGCAAATTACGCCTTGTATCTTCCTAGTTTTTTTTTTTTTTTTTTTCTCTTTTAAGTATAAAATAAAATTATTAATTAGAAGAATAATCATTGTGATATTGGGAAAACAACAGGACAAAAAAACAAAACAAAAACAAAGCGAAACAATCAGTTTGAGATTTATATATTTTTATATGATTGACTTGCATAATTCGGGATAAAACCATTGTAATATGGCCCACTTGTATGTAATATTGGATGATGACGAGATGTTAATTCAGCATCGGGATGATTTATTCGAATAGTATCAAGATTTAATGTATGTAGATTAGGTTCACTTCGAACTAATGGGATAATAGCTTGCTTATGTTGAGCACGACGTTGATCATATTTAGCCTGAATAGTAAATGAGATTTAATTTTATATAGAACAAAAAAAAAAAAGAAATGAACAGAAAATTTTTCAAATGTTTCATATAGATTTATGTTAACGTTTGAAACTCGTACAAAAATTTTTCCAGCTTCTCAAGTGAGTAATAAATATAAATTTTAAGTTGAACAAATCCATTTTATTGCTCAATGTTTGTTTAACCCGACTTTTAATTTTATATGCAATGCAGATAGAATTTCATTTTATTAATTAGATTTCTGCGAAAAAAACTCAACATGATATAAGATATGCGTTAACTCGAGGCAAGACAGGACTGGATAAGGATGCATGCATTAAAATATTGACTTCCTAGTTTTAATAACGGGTGGAACGGAAAGGTTGTTACCAACATCGGTAATTCATTGATGAGACAATATCATAAATTTTTTGCTTAACCTTAATATAAGAATTTGTCCACATATCCTGTTCCGTATTGGGTTTAAAAGGTTTTTTACTAGTTTGATTAATTCTTCTTTTTCCTATCGCTTAGAAAAGACCACCCAAACTGATACCCGCCTTTTGTACTCATATGGAGGGTGATCATATATATATATATTCTGAGAATTTCATTCGAAAAAAAAAGATATCCTTTTGCCACAGGTATGACATAAAAAACGAATTTACTTCAAAACATTCAGTAAAACTATTCTATTTCAGGTCTAAAGACCCATGAAGACAAGTCCGTTTAGACATTCTTGTACACTCCAAACGGTGAATATCAATTCAGATGGTTCCTTCATTCATTGTATATATTCAAAAATAATCTATTCAATAATTAAATTGTAAAAAACATACTTTATTGTAACACATAACACCAAGTAGAGCTAAACTCATGCCAATAACATTCGCTGTTGTTACTGGATTTCTTAATATTAATAATGAAATACAAATAACAACAATTCGTTTTGTACTATTGGCAATACTATATGATAATGGTGTCACTAGTGAAATCATTGTAAATGCTACAACATTATGTAAAAAATTGAGTACACCATCAATAGATAAATAAAATAAAATTTTCGTTGCTCTATTGTGAGCATGCTAAATAAATAAAAATGAAAAATTCGAATTTTTTTTCATGTATTCTATTTCCTAAGCACCTACTCACGTATTTCGTATCATAATATATATCCATTCCATCATAAAAAAACCAAAAAGGTACAAATAAACACCATGATATTTTAGCTAATAAAGCAAGTAATGCAAAATGATGAATTGAAATATCTTTGAGAGACTATTAAAATAGATACATATAGATATGAACACAACATAGAGAGAGAGAAAAAGAAAATTATTTAAGAAAAAAAAAACAATCTACTTTTTTTGAATAAATATTTTGTAATGAAAAACCAAATGTTGAAAGTAATGCACTGATAAGACCAACAAAATTAAATGAAATTTCTGTAACTGTTGCTATAATCACACCAACAATAATAGGAACAAGTGAAAAATAAACAGGAAATGATTGTTTTTCACGTAAAATTAAACGAGACAAAATTCTAAATAAATAATATACATACAGTTCTATTTTCATCAAAGAAATAAACTAGTTCAACAATTATTATTCATTTTCTTTCGATATCATAACAGATATATGCCTATTGTAACGGCAGATTTTCAGTGGCACTGAACATCTATGTTTCATAAATATTAATAATCATATGAAAAACTTCGAATTATTTCGATTAGTGTTACTGTATTCATCAATTATGATAATCTTTAAAGAAATCAAACAATATATTAATAACATTTTTTTTCTTATTGAATTTTTACTTTTTTCACTGAAAGAATCTTGCTGGGTTTCGTGAACTATCTTGAATCAGAATAAAATATATGTGATTTTGTAGACCATCGAATGGTATATAAAATATTAATTTTTTTATGTTCCAAAGGTTCATATACTGATTTATAATTTCTTGAGAAGTATATATAGTACTCATAGATCATTGTACTCTCACAGATATTTTAAGATTAATTTTCACTCCTGAATAAAAATTTTTTCTCTTGTTATTCTTTTCGTGTCGAATCCATTGTTCTCAAGAAAATGTTAGTTATAAGAATGACTTAAAAACTATTTTAGTGTAATTTATGAATGATTACGATCTACTTCAATGTTAAAAGTACATCATTCAATACAATCGACCATCAATACAAATGACTTGGTAAATAGAATGCTTCATGGTTCAGTTATCTCTTTGTTTGATGTGTTATGAATGTTTTATTTTATCTGTATTTGTACTAATTGACAATATCGCATTGTCAGAAGATCTTCGAGACAAAAAACGAAAAGAGATAACCCAGTTGTGAAACATTTTCTCAATCAACTCATTTCTAGTGTTGCTCACTTATATTGAAAAATGGTAGATTTTTTCATTGAAGTAAATTACTACTAATCAATTAATTATACACTAGAATAAAGTATTAAAGCCATCCGTGTAACTAGCATTCAAAGTTCTATACGAAAAGAATAATGGATAGAAGACTTCTACGCACGGAGGTATATGAAAATTTTGTTTCTAAACTCGATTTGATATAGTTATAAATGCCCTTCGAATGTCCTATAATTAATAGTTTTCACTTTTACTTCTGTTCATAATTAAAAATGATCCATTATCTTAATTATATTATATTTCAGTATATTTAACTTTGTGTCACAGAAAAAATAAGTACCAACGTATAACTTTCATCTCCTAGACTAGCCGATTTTCCTATATGAAGGAACGTGTATATTGACGATATTTTAATAATACTTAATGATCCTATTAAAATTTTTTATATATCATTAATCAACACAGCATTTCTGATAAACTGATATAAATAACACCTTTATAAATGAAAAAAGTTTTTTAGCCGTCAGATCCCCTGGAGGAGGGTACAGGGATATAGAAAAATTGGTTTTTGAAATGAATATGAGATATTTATAGACTCTTGTAGAATTTCATGCAAAAATCAAGCTTGCATACTCGGAATAAAAATAACAGATTTCCTTCCTGCAATCTTGTATCTGTACTTCTCTTCAGAGATTTAAAAGCTAAAACATTTTTTTTCCCTTTCCAAAGGAATAATTTATATCCGTTCATCAAGGATGCTGCGTTGATTATTGGCACAAAAAAAAAAAAAATTTCATAAGACTGTTGACTATTATTAAAATATCTTCAGCATGCTGAGTGTGGAAAGTACACTCTTGCAGTAGGCAATCTTGAAAGTTGACAATTTATAGAGCTCAATAATATGAGAAAGTTTTACGTTGGTGCTCACTTGTTTTCTAGCACAGAGTTGAACACACTGAAGTATCATATAGTCAAGAAAAGAAATCATTTTTAAATATGAAGAAAACTATTGATCGTAGAAAAATCACAATATCTATGAGTACTATATATATTTTTCAAGAATTATAACCAGTATATAAACTGTCCGAACATCAAAAACTTGATCTCTTATATATATATACCGTTCGATGCTCCGAAAACCACATATATGCTATTCTGATTCAAGATGAATCAACAAATCTGGCAAGCCTCTTTATACATACATTTCTTTGTCTTCGTGTCTTTGTTATACAAATCTTTTAGGTTTAATCAAATAAAAATCTTACACAGTGAACAAAGGCATTGTTGCTTTGACTGTATGAGCATATGAAACAGGTACTTTCCAAAGACTAACATGAGATGAAAGTTGTGCAAGAAATTTGCCTATTGCTAAAGGAATAATAATTTTGAAATAATAAATTCGATTTTGATGAAGATAATCGGGCGATGGAACTTTCCATATGCTGAATAATATTAAAGATAATAAATCAAATAAATTAATATGAATATATATGCATACCGAAGAAGTGGGATACTAAAAATCCAGACACTGAAAAGTTGTACAAGTGTAACTGTTAATGGAAATGGAAATTCATTAAGTAGTTCTTTGACAATAACATTGCCTGCTGCTGATACACCTAATCAAATTAAAATAAATAATATATTAGAATAAATCAGAGAAAAGATCGAATAATTTACTCACCATACCAAACTAGACATAAACTAACTATTTGAAGAGCTTCTAAAACCAATGAATCTCGATGTTTAATCATTCTGATAATGTTGTTAATTGTTCAATAAATTATCTTGACTATAGTTGTCGATATTTGGTTAATCATTCTTTAATTTGTTAATAAATAAAAATAAAAATCAATTTGAGATATACATATACATCTAAAGATGTTAAACGAGCAAATAAATAAATATTAACATAAGAGGAAACTATTTTGTAATTGTCTATTTCATTGCGGATATCAACAACGTGACAAAAACTTAAATATGTCATAAAAATAATAGAAACCTGAAGACAATAAAACCAATAGAAGAACAAAAAGGGGCAGTGTCTACGTGTACATGATCGATTCCTTCTTTTTTCTTTCTTTCTGTCTAAATAAATCGATAGCGTAGACTTTTGTTCTTTGGCTTAGATCTGCACCATACACTGCGATAGATGTCGTAAGCAACAAACTACTATCGACATTAAATTTTTTTATATTTAAGTGGCAAAATACATTTCTGTTGAAAATTGTCTTAGGTAATTCAGATAAAAATTTTGGTTCGATTGTTTATCGTCTATAGTCTTGCCATAAAATTTGTTGTATTGTCTTTCATATGAAAAGCTATAGAGAGCAGAAAAAAATAGAATTTGACACAAAGCATAACACATTAAAATTGTCAGTTTTGAATTTGTGTTGTATAATAGAAGGATATAGTTTAACGGAAAATTTCAGACATTGAATATTAGTCTTTTCCTCATTGTTCATAACAGAAAATATCACAGTTAGCGTGTCATACAACACACTTAAACCATCTAATTGATTGTGATTCAATGAAGTTCTGATCTAGTAGTGAAATTCGTCATGATTTTTCATTATTATGAGTTGTAACTACAAGAGTGCATATCATTCTAGCGACTAGTGCCTCCATGAAAGTATCATTTCGCTCAAGAGGAAAGTGTCAAATCGTTTTCCGACCGAAACGATACTGATTTGAGGAGTAATAACAAGAAAGTCTAGAATGGTTTGGTTTTTGGGATCTTCATTATTGAGATATCGAAATTCTTCTGGGTTTTTCAACAAAAAGCTGTGATCAAGTAAAAAATCAACTTCAAACTTTGCACGAATAAATTTCATCATGGAGCTAGTTGATTGTGCAACCATTAGCTTCTCAATTATTTCCCTTCTGAAGATGTTAATATATGAACGAAATTTACTTTTAAATATGAGAGAAGTTCGAATATTTAATATCTCAGGATAGGAGATATTAGCGTGTAAAGTTTGAAGTCGAAATTCGGAAGTCGATTTTTCACATAATCATAGCTTTTTGTTGAAAAACTCAGTAAAATTTTGATATTTCAAGAACAAAGACTCGAAAAACCAAATTCATTAAATGAACATCATCTCATTTGAAAAGCGGTTTGATAACTGGAGAAGTTTTCTCGTCAGCTGGATTGACATTTACTCAAAGACGAACATGTTTATCAGTAAGTCAATGTGATAACATATGCGAACATAAATTTTGGTCAATAAAATTAATTAAATGGTCAGCAAAAAATTTACAAATGGTCAGTTTTTTATGTATAAGTGTCAGTAAAAAATTCAAATTTGGTCAGTAAAGAATTTCAATTTATCTGTAGAAATGCAGATTTTATGAGCAGAAGAAGTAAATTTTATTCATATAAAGATTCACTTAGTATAAGAAAAAATAAATTTAAATAAATAAATAAAAGCTTACTGGCGTAGCCCCTTTGGGACTGAAATGTGAAATTCACCTACGCTCTATCCTCATTCAACTAATATAAAATGCGTAAAGTTAAAAATCTCTCTTAGCCTATAGTTGTTTTGCAGGATAATCAATCACTAGATTAAGAACCTATGTAATTTCTGCATTTTGAACAGAATTTTTAAAAGTTTTTTTTTTCTATGGGCGCCCTTTTTGCTTTTGTTTGGATTGTTGCTAATCGCTCATTATTTTTTATTTTTTATTTTTTGTAATTCGTTTTTCTTAATTTAACTCATTGAAATAATCGACAAATAAGTCTGTTTCACATATTCATGATATCTACAGCAGATCTTATGCACTATCATATAATTTTACGCCTGCTATTTTCCATTGCTAAGGTCTGTAATGGGTGGGAGCGGGGTGTGTGTGTCTATAATGGGGAGGGAAAGCCGCGAAGACTTGAATTTAAAATTTACACTCACTATTTTCTTCGAAAATATATGTAAGTTCAACAAAACACAGAAGAAATCCAAAAGAACATTAAATAGAAATAGAAATTCGAAGAATGAATGGAAAAAAAAGAAAAAGAAAATTCAATTATTCTACTAGCAAAGCAGGTTTAGCATTTGCTGACCTATCTCGTTTTCTTTCCTCACTGTTCGGCACTGTTTTTGCTGGTGGTGGTGATTTTCAATATTTCAAACGAATAGCCATACCAGCGACGTGTTTGCACATATAATTCTTAACAAAAACGGGACAATTGTATTTTGATTTCTTTTGTTTTTGAGTTCTTTGATTGCCATTTATTCCATGATTTTCTTCAATAACTTCTTTATCTGATGTATCGCTTTCATATTGAGCAACTTGTACCACATCCATCTTTTTTATTTGTTGATACTAAGATGAATGTACAGAGGTGTTCGCCGTTAATTGCTATACCAGATCAATACTAAACCATACAGTTTTTTTTTCGACACGGCAAGCATATATATGAACGAGCTAGGAGAAAACCAATGACAGACATTGGGAACAAAACGTGACAAGAAGAGAAAATACCTGAACTATGACAAGGAAAGTGAACGTTTGGACAATACCTTGACGCGAAGGAAAGAAAAAAAGAAAGAATATATATATATGTATCTCATACTAATCATCTGTTTGACAAAATAGAAACAAAGAAAGAAAAGTGAATCACACTATAACACATTTCAATTTTTATACTTACCATTTAATTTAATTTACTGATTTTTAAATATATTGGCAAACCTAATTATTTTAATAACTGACCATTGAAATAAAATATTGATCATTCATTTATTCTGCTGACCACTTAAATGATAGCCATAACATATTATTCACTTGTTAATATGAGAACTTCAAGAAACAGAAATAAAAAGGAAAATGTATTTTTTCTAGTTGTCCACCTGTTTAAATTGATAACATTTTGAATATTGTAAATGATTTTTTTTTTGCATAAATAGTACGTCTATGATATTTGATATAATACCTCATATATGAACGAATTTCTATCCTTGTCAAAAATGCAATGAAAGAATCGTCTGTTGTCCTAACCGATGATCTGAAAAATATAGATCTGGACGAACAAAATCATTTTGTGTCTTCAAGAGTTGAGATTGAAATGAAATATTATTAGAACTGATTAAAAATCAATCATTGCAACAAATATCTCAAAATAATTTGCACTATCACTTCTTTTGCATATTCCTTTTTTTATCCGGAAACTTATTTTATATAACAAAATGATAAAGAGTTTCAAGTTCTATAAAGCTGACATTCAATTTTTTTTATTTTCTCAAAAAAAATTTCATACAAAAAGTAAAAACGAACGAATACTTACACCTGAAATCAATGTCATAAATATGAACGTTGTACAACTTTTTGGAAAGTCAGATTTGAAATGAATACAAATGGTTTCAAATATCGATGTAACTATTCAATAATAGTTTATATATACAAATTTATTGTAATTTAATATGGTATATGTGATCCAATGCAAAACATTCGTTAACCTATACTTAACATTAGAAAATATTCTGGATTTTCAAATTGACAAACAAGAAATAGGAAATAATACGAAACGCAATGGCAATAAGAGATCGTGAAAATTCGTCAGCTTATGTACCTATCGTGAACTCTCAAAAGAGCTAGTCGGGTTGGTCCGGATCTGAAGATTGTTGACTTGACGGGTTCTAACACTCATTCGATCAAGTTAGATCTTTAAACGTAAACAACTATCTTTCATACATTTTATATATGATGCGGACATGCATGAAAGAATTTGATCCTTTTCTTTCGAAGTTCATAGTTTGGATTAGAATAAAAGCATAAGAGTCAAAAGCAACCAAAGATTCGTAGAGTCGAAAGAAAAAGAATTTTTCCACTTTTTTTTTTATCCGAGAAAAACAAAAGTTTAGTTTTTAATTAATTAAATACGCTAATTTGTTCAGAATTCGTTGCTAATTTCAAATATGTGCATACTTATTAAGAAAAATAGTGCAAAATTCAGACAATAATGGAATTTCGTAACACATTGTTTTCTAGAAAAAAGATGAGAATATTAAATCAACCTATACTCAAATAGGTGGTTAAGTGAAGTTTCTTGAGTTCTATCTGGAAACATTGTTTTTATTGGGAAAATCAACAATATACGAGAGAGTTTTGTTCAAAACTTTATCAAAAATAGAAATGATTTTTGAAGACGCTATCTTGCTTTGTAGACATCTAACATGGATACAAACATCAATTCACGAGAAATTAAAAATTTCCTCATTTACTTTTCTATAGTCATATCTCTTATACAACTTTAACAATAGGAAGTATAAATCTAACAGGATATAAAGTGGGTTGACGTTTCTATATTCGATTTACACCTAACTCTAAAGAGATTAAAGGAAATAAATTTTACAAAAGTCATACTGGCTTGAAAAGCCTCAGAATAAAATAGGATAAATTCAACTTCTCCTGAACTCCTCGATTGGGACACCAAATCACTCAATACTGCTTAGAAATATAGAAACATTTTCATTTCAAATACTATCAATCGTTGTCTGTTCAATAGTACACTCGGCTTTCTTTACATTTAAGCTCGACTTCTTTCCATGTATGAGTCACTGATGACTGATCAAGTCGAATTTCGATTGTTAATCAACTAATACTTTAGATTTTATTTATTTCTATTTAATATATTGAAAAAAAAAAAAGAAACCATCAAACATTATAATCTTGTATTACGAAAGAATTCATCTCATCCTGTCATCTATTGAAGAAAACTAGTATTTGATCAACATATTAACCAATAAAATCAAATAAACATTTTACATACTTTTCATCTATTTATTTTATGTTTTGAAGAAATTGATTTACAATTGTGTAACATTAAAGTACTTCCTTTTCAACGAAAGAAACAAAAATGAATAATAATGGAAAATTTAACAATGGATCTGATCCATTGATTATGCATAATCAGTATCCACCATGGATGGAACAACCATATATGAATCAAACAACTCAATATTATCAACTACAAAATCTAACATCAAATTTTCTTGATTCTAATAATCCAAAACGATTAGTAAATTTAATCAAATTTTGTGTTCTTTTTTTGTGACACTTTTCCTTAGATGCAATCGTCTAAATCTATAAAACGTAAACAAGATAATTTAACTTGTGATATATGTGGAGTCGAAGTTAATTCACAGCAAATGATGGATTCTCATATTCTTGGGCAAAAACATATGAAAAAAATGAAACTTAAAACAGTATGATTCCTTTCTGAAAAGAGAAAAAAAAAACACTACATTGTATCTTATTGTAAATGTCCGTAGATAGAATCAGCTAATCACACATCTGACAACATTGATGTTAAACAAAAGCCCGTAGTAGAATCAGATTCAAAACTCGAATCAAATCAATCTTCTACTATTGTTAAACCATCAACTTCATCTGATAAAAGAAGTGCTTCACAATTAATGAATGAATTAGCCAAATTTAATAAGGTCTATATAAAGCATTAAAGAAAACGTCACAAATTTTTTTTTTTTAGGTAACTGCTAAATATGATGTAATAAAAGAAACTGGCCCACCGCATCGTAAACAATTCGAAGTACAATTAACTATTGCCGATGAAATTTATACAGGTACTGGAACAAGTATTAAACGAGCACAACAAATTGGTTAGTATTACAAAATGAATTCAAATTATTGTTATTATTATTATTATTTATTTTTTCTAGCTGCTGAACAAGCTTTAGCAACTACAGCATTGAAAAAACCTGAACAAAAACAACGTACATTAAATTCAACACGAATGATACCTACACGAAAAAGTACGTTTATCATTGGATTTTGATTCATCTATATGAGTAATTTCATTCGTTAATGATATAACACAAGTCGGATAAAGATTGTCACTGAATGTATTCCCATTTATAAATACTGAAATTGTAAATAGTATTTTTGAAAAGTAAATATTACGTTGTGTAGAATATTCTTCAAGCTACAAAATCTATGTGCAATTTTTTTCCTAATTATGCTTAGAGTTTTCAAAAATTGAATTTGTTAGTGGGGAGAATGAATATGAAGATATAAGTGAAAAATCATCTTGTAACTGAATGAGGAGTGCAAAAAATAATTTGCAAATGATACAACTGAGACAAGATCAGACTTCTGGAAAAAGAGGTTTTTAGGAGGCAATTTTTCCAAGTCCAACCTGCCTGAAAATTTCACCACGAACGGATCAGAAATCTGTAACATTGTACTTTTTAATGACGAGTACACACTTGTATTTGTCTGATTTTAATCTCTTAGAAGAAGATTTGAGAGTACTTTGAATTATGTCTTTTAATAATTAATATACTATATGAAAATGATGCCATTGATTTGATTGAAAATCTTTGCTTGATCAGAAAAATTAAACTTATTAAAAAAATAAGCAATAATCCATAAATATTTGCATTTTTTCATTTAAACTAGTCTATTCTATTATATATTTTAATTTCATTAAAACATTTGAAATTATTCGTAACATCATAAAAAATAGATTACTTTCATTTAAATCCTATAAAATTATTCTTCTCATTTTATTGAGATCAAAACTATATTTCTATCATTTTTGATTAGTTCAAAAAAAAAACATCAGAATTAAATCAATGGTAAGTATATGTCTATATAGAACGAGAGAAAACTTGATTATAGTAATATCAACCTATGAATATAATTTAAATAATAAAACTTTCTACAATCAAGTTTTTTCTTAATCATTGATTGTTAAGATGTTTTATCTCTATTTTATTTTTTATTATAGTACCTGCAGATGATTCTCAACAATACACACTTTCATCTACAAGTCAACAACAACAACAACAACAAATAGATCCAATTAATGACAATACATTTGAAATGTTCTTAAATAAAAAACATACTGATATAATTGAATATGATAGTACAATAATAGCAGTAAATCATTTTGTTGAAAACATTGAACGAGCTATGAAACATGTTTCTGATAAAATGATGGCAGAATATCAACAAAAAAATATACGTGTTGTACCAAAATTACTAGATAATATTCAATCAAATAATATTGAACAAATTAACGAAGATTCATCAGAATCATTTCGGTATACACGAACAAAATATATATATGGGGCTGGTCAACCTGGCCGGAGGCCCCATTAATATTTCTTTATATTGTAAGGATAAAACATACTATTGTTCGGGTCATATAAGAG